TTCAGCACGATTCCTAGTTACACCAACTACCACATTCGGAAACCACAGATTCACCGTTCCGACAGAAAAGCTTGGCGATTTAAAGACAAGTGCTCTAATGGTAATATGCATCTATTCAAAATATTTTTTAAGTTGGCTTCGCAAAGTGAACGCATTACGAAAGAAGTTTTAGTTGAAGAACCCGTCTGTCATGATAAATAAGTATTGCCGTAATTAAAAGACTGATGTGTCATAAATTAGAATGTTTAGTGAACTTTGCAAAAGTACAAATTATCCACTAACAAATAACGTCTTTCAAGTCCTAGCGATTACACATGCGTTCTGTTTAAGTACATCAGATTGATGTTGAACTTTCATTCACAGTGTCCTACAAAAAGAAAATGACGTTACTCTTCAGAATTACAAACGTAGTATTAAGAAATCAAAACTGATTATAGTAGACAAAACAATGCCTTATGTCATGGCAATCGTCTAACCTTTGAATCCATAATGCCCTTCGAAAGGTTGATCACGTACGAATGGCATAACAATATTGCTTTGGAATGATTACGATTGGTTTGTGACATCTCACTTGACCATAAAGAGACATAAATAAACAAAATATCCTGTTCTACAGACATGTGTGAATTGAGGTTACCTTCCCACCATCATGTTTGCTGGTCAGTAAGGCTACTACTCATCTTTTTGTGCTTTGAGGCTCTCTTACGTTGGTGGTGTATATGAATATTGTTTTAATCAAAGCTCTATGCTGACTATGTGAGTACTGTGATTATTGACTTGAGTCACAAAAATATAAGCAATGATGGATGGTGACCAGCTGTGGAATCCAGAACGCGAGTTTCGTTCTAATTGAAACTTGTCGGCAGGATGTAACTACATTTCAGAGTTGACGTTCACTCAGAGACCCGAACATACGTCCGGAATTCCACTACTAGCTACAATTCTTACTTGCTTGTAGACCATCAGTGTTAAAATATACTACAATATTGATCTCTGACAAAGGTTTATCCACAGAACTCAAAGTATCAATCATAAGTTTGTAGTGGAAAATAAATCCTCAATTTCAATAATTCGACATTTGCTGCTAACTGCATTAGTTTAGATGGATCTACCTAGTTTAAGATATTGGGTCACGAATCTTCATATCTCTTAGCTTCTGATTTCACTGGGTTGGCACGTTTCGATTATAAATGGTGTTACTGGTTAATAATAATAATTTTATATTCTGAACAAATAATAATTACAGAATTCACGCCAGTTTGCAGGCATGATCAATTTTATATAAATAATAACGTTGTACGTGCAGAACAAACATGTGATAAAAGAAAGTTTTAAGTATACTAGTTCAGTAGTTGTTTAAGTAGTACATATATTACAGCGATCCAATTCATCAGCCGGGAATTTTTAATATTTCTTAGATGGACAGCCTGTTGATTTATGAACGGTGTAATAAAGGTCAATTCGTGTGCCAGATCGAAATAATGATAATTGTCTACAACTACAGAAATGAAAACGAAAACAGAGAACACAGAACAACAAAAAGGTAATTACCAAAATATATCAATCACGTCTACATTAATGCGTGTGTCATGTGACACAGTGATATACTGTTTATGATATTCAAATTAGTTAAAGGTGCTAGGGGCGGTGCTAACATATTGACAGCAAGTGGGTGGTTTTACTAAGGGAATTCACTAATAAAGATGACTAAGCATCTGAGGTTCCTAAAATATCACTAGTGGAATGATATACCCCTAAAGGCGCCAGACTATTCAATGCATTTTCAGAGGAGCAGTATGCATCGATGCAGCGAACAAATAATGGGAGTGATTTTATCGTGCGGATAGATTGTGGTAGGTTATTTCAGAGTCTAGAAAATTTACAGGTGAAGTAATTCAAATAAAGAGATTATTTAGAATGAGTTTGTTTCACTAGTGCTAAGCGATTGCGGATGTCATAATGAGAGGTTTCTGCATGTTGAATCGCGTGATCGGATGTAAACGATAGTTTATGAAGTAGTTTGAAGAAAAAGATAAGATTCAGTTTGAGTCTCCTCCTTCATAAAGGGTCTAGGCCAAGTTTATTACATCTCGAATTATAAGTTAGGGTACAATCAGCTCCAAGAATACGAAGTGTAAATCGTCTCTGTACAGATTCCAGCCTTAATTTATCCTTTATGCGCGCACTACTAAAAATAAACGAGCAATATTCTACAAGAGGTCGAGCACAAACTTTGTACATTAAAATACATGACTCATTGTTGTAAAGGTTTCGAGTTATGTAACCTAAAAGATTTTGGGACTTAGAGGTCTGTGTCAATATCAGTTCTATGAAGGACAAGTCTTGGGAGTATCTAAGTCCTAAGTCTACTACTGTATGTAACCTTAATAACAATTCCTCATTTATGGTAATGTCTAGGTTGAGTGATGTATCGCCGTAGCATATCCATCCACATTTAGCCGTATTAAGCTCCAGTTGCCATTCTGAGCACCACTGTGCCTCCTAGTTAAGCTCCATGCTGATGTAATTTTGAATATTTTTCAGCTCATGTGGAGAAAATGATTATACTACTTTGAGATCATCTGCATATAGAAGGGGCCTACCGACACAAAAACTTTCACAAATATCATTGATAAACACTGAAAAGAGCAAAGGGTCTAAGACACTACCTTGTATTACACCACTTCTAACAGGGACAGCGTTAGACAATGAAGAGTTAATTTCAACCAATTGATATCGATTGCTGAGAAAGGAATCAAACCAAGCTAGCAAAGGATTTTGAATCTTATAAGATGTTAGCTTACCTATAAGAAGTTGTTGGCTAACCATGTCAAAGGCTTTAGAAATGTCCAGATATAGCATCAGGACTAGATATCCTTGGCTACGTAGAGAACAGACTAAATTAAAGAAGTCAAAATAACATGTCATGCAAGAACGATTTTTAAGAAATCCATGTTGAGTATCATTGATAAATTTTCCAGCAAGTAAATAGTTGGAAAGTTCATCACATATAATTTTTTCCATAATCCTAGAAATAACTGGAGTAATATTTGCCGGCCGGTAATTGTTCATGTCGGTCTTATCTCCAGATTTGTAACGTGGTATGATGTGCGCGGTTTTCCAACAGTTAGGGTAAAAATCAGTTACCATAGAGAGAGTAAACAGCTTTAGAAAAGAAGAAGTGGAATATATGGACCACCATATTTGTAGAGAAAAGATGAAATCCCGTCTACTCCATGACCTCTTGAAAGCTTAAGGGTATTTATAGCCTTACTAATTTTCATGCATTTGAAGGAGATAGATTTTATTGAGTTGCTAGTCACGCACATAACTCTCGAAGCATAGCCACTTATGTTTTCTACACCATTTGCGCATATACTACTGAAAAGTTCGGCCATGGTTTTAGAGTCGTATATAAAAGTGCTACTATGCTGGATGCACGGTATATCAACATTTCGAGTTGCTTTAGTGCGTTTATTGAAAAGGAGATTTAAGTTTTGTACTTTCGAGTTAGTATTAAGGGCTAACAGCTCCTCATTAATGGCTTTTAGCCTGTTTCTCTTTAATTTGATTAAAAATTATTGTTATTTGTGCAACTGCTGTGAAGTCGTTTGACTTAAAATAACGATTCTGTAGGCGTTTTAGTTTATTACGATGTTTAGCTGGTATATATAATTCGTAAGGTTTACTAAACTTGTACGTTTTAAGAGGTACACTGGAATCTATACAAGAGTTAACGATCAGATATAATTCGTCGATAGCATTCATGAGACTATTACATGAAAAAAAGTTATCCCAGTCTGAATGTTTAATCAATAAAAGCAGGCGGTCCCAGTTAGCATGCTTATAGTCTCTATATTGACAGGTTTTTTGAATGGGTGGGTTATAAGAGAGATAGATGGGGAGAGCGCAAACTACCTTCTTATGGTCACTGCTTTCAAATTCATCATATACTTTTACAGATAGTGGGATAACATCTCTACTAAATATTAGATCGAGTATACTATCGCCTCTAGTTGGGGCATGAACCCAATGTGACCAGCAGTGCACGTTAATGGTTGCCGAGAACATGACTGACAACTACCGGTACTCCAGTTGATCCCAGGATAATTGAAATCCCCAGTGATAACCTTAACATTAAAGTTTAGAGAGGATGTATGTATGAATGCATTGATAATAAGATCATTCCCACTATTCGGACTATCAGGAGCTCTGTATATACATCCAAGTTGTAGACTGTGATTCAGGGTGTTGACTGATATCCAGACTGATTCTGGTAAACTATCCAGGACACTATCTTCAACTTTATTAGTTGTTAGGTTACCCAAAGCATATATAATACAACTACCTCCTCGCTTAGTTTCTCTGTCGCAGCGATACAGTCGATAGTTCTGGATATTTAATTCTGAATTAGATACTGCTTGAGAGCACCATGTTTCAGTGATAAGTATGGAAGAAGGTTTGGCTAGAAAAGCTAATGTTCTCAAGGCTGAAATTTTGTTCAGAAATGAACGTGCATTGATAAGTAATAAGTTTGAAAAGAGAGTGTGGAGTGTTAAAAAACCGAGAGCTTCCCTATTGATGTTATGTAGTTTGGATTTGCATAGACTGTGGTTTATTATGTTTGACTGATCGTATGGGCTATCGCTTGAACAAACTGTATTGCTAGTCGGACCAGGGATTTCTGAAGGCCAAGAAAATCATTATTTTGATAAAGTGGGTTAATTTGTTGAACTTGATTAGGCGGACAGTTAAGACAGGCACCTGCCAGTTGGGGTTGGGTTGATGGTGCGTAACCTAGTAATCCATCTTGCCCAATGGGAAAGTGCTGAGAATAGTTACATCTTACAGGTATGTTATTTAAAACGTTTGAGGATAACCGTAGGGTGCGTTGGTTCGTTGTGGTCTGTCCAATATTAGGCTTGCTTACATGATGATTGCAGTGGCCATCTTGTGAGACATTTGAACCAAGTCTGACCTTATAACCTCCCCTGAGATGCGTAAGGTAAAGCATGGTGTCGGGAAGTACAGTCTTATTTTTATTTGGTACGGTCATCGTAGTATTTTTGATATTGGGTCTAGAACCAGAAGGTTCTGTACTTACATTCTTCTTACATGGCAAATTTATTTTAGTCTTGACAGCGTTTTTAAGAGTTGTAGCACTAGAACTAAGTACTTGCTCATTGGCTTCTAATGGTAAACTGGGTAATATCGGATTAGTGACGTCATTAGATGTACATTGACTGTCAGATGTCACTACAGACATAACAGGCAAATTAGCATTCTTTAATGGTATATCAGAGTGCTGGAGAACATGAGATAGGGTAGCTGCATCAGTGGATCCCGCAGCTGATGCATCGTGGTTTGTTGTGATCTCAACACCTTTATTTTCGTTCAAGGTACGTTTTTGCGTAAGCCTTTGATTGGTGGTCTTTTCTGAGACTATACGTGCGTTCCTAAATTTCGTAAGCGCGCAGATTACCTGTTCGGATTCTTTTAACCGTTCAGCTAATATATGAGAGTCGAATCTGAACAAGTATAGATTATAAAGCTATTTATGAGTTATAAACTAGGATTCAACGATACTTAAAGAATATAAATTAGATACCGTGTTATCGTCACGCAAACTTCAAACGTACCGCAAAGGTGTTGTCAAACTGCTGATGATTGTGGCATCTTCAAAATCTATTGGATTGATGTTGAAGGCCTAATTTTTGCAACACTATCAATGGTTGTGGAGATCAAAAAAAGTAAGTTTGTCCAATAGTTACGAAAATGGAATATGGAGCATAAGGATTGGAAACGAGTAAAGCATTATTTGAAATGCAAAATTTCAGATTCCAGTGGCCATTCAAGGGCCGATTAATTGTAGTTCGTGTCATGGCCACTTGGTGCCAATCGGTTAGATGCTGGATGGGCCATCGTTAAATTCAGCTTCGTTTAGGTAAGCTCCATCGAGCATGTGGGGAAGGCTAGATTGGTCCATAAAGCAGTTTGCAGAAGATTTGAACTGAGCAATCATCTGACGTGGTCGGATGTCTGCTGACAACCTATTCCAGATGCTTGCATATTGTGTGACGACGAAAGTTGACTTCAATTCGCGTGATGTTTTTGATATCTTTGGTACAAATCCTTGATCCGAAGGTTATAGTTACTATTCCGGAAAAGTTTAACTTATCAATACTTACTGTCTTATATGTATATATAAACAAATGTATATACACTATAAACTTTTTAAAAGGTCTTAATCACAAAGAATAAAGTTTCCATGCTTTACATCTATCTTTATGTGGTCAGGCGTGAGAAATCTTATGAAATGGTGTTGTGCTTTCTCAATTTTCTGTCAATCGATGGGATTCATGCAACTAAATAGAAATGGGAAGTGTTCTTTAAGAGGCCAAACAGATAACCTATAGAGGGTAGTTTCGGATTTCTTTAAGTGGAAAGTACGGTTTGCTATGTCTAGAGCTTATATTTTTGATATGCCGCGTACAACTTGAGCACCTGAACGCTAGAACACTTCCAGTCGCGAAAAAGGAAACAAAAGACAGGTGAATGGAATGTTATTCCAGACAGTGTCAAATTATGGTACGAAACTGTCAGGTATTTATAGTATTTAGTATAATAGAAATCATCACTGTAGCTATCCAATCCAAACACAGAGGTTTGTGAGCAGTGTGCAATTAGGAAGCTACACGTAGAGATTCTAGAATATCTTTGCAACGGGTGATTGGATGGAATATCTTCGGACCCACCTGAAACATGGTTACCGTATTCATCTTGCTGTCCATCGCTCTCGCAGGCTGTACATATTTACCCCTGTGTCTTTTATATCTTATAAATTAGCACTCCACAGAGCTTTTCCGAGATGTATCCACGAGCAATTGAAATGGGATTTCACTTTGTGTAAGCAATGCTCTGCCATCTGTTCTAATTTAATTCATGTGTCTCATACACGTTACGACATTTCTCCGGACTAGGTGCAGTAAATTTCCGATCCGACGATCTATGGTATCTGATTCCCACTTTCTATTAACATGATACGATTTGGCAAGTACACTTTCACACACCTGGAAGCTACGAATGGGAATACGGTATTCGCGTTGGATCCAGACTAAGATGTGGACTGAAGAATAGCTTTGTAGGTGGGTTAGATACGCGCTCTTACCCGGTTGAAACCAAAACAAAGTGAGTGAGTAAAATGACGGTTCTGAAATTCATCATAAATTTAAATTTATATCATTACCTGAAGAAAAATGACCACCCAGCTAATCAACCAATAACTGTTCAATCCGTTGAATCTAAATTACAACAAATAAGGAATTTCACAAAGGTTGTAAGAAAATTACCGATCGCAACAAATAAACCTCATTCTATGTCTTCTGGATAGATCAAGTACAGATTTGTTCGAAAGATAGCATTTGGTTGCTTTGAAACACAACGTTTTCAATTCTGGAAGAGTGCTTCAATTCACAATCAAAAATGCAAAATCCCGCCAAAACTAAGTATCAAGTTAAACAACAAAAGTGCAGTTCAGGAAGAAACACTGAAACTTGGTGCAAGCGTAAGAAAAATAAAAACTATAATGAAATACAAAAATAACCAACTCAAATGGAATCAAAAAGACTAACAAAATCTACAACTAAAGGAATCAATGGGAACAAACTGAAAGTTTATACATGGAGGGATTTTCACACACAAAACCTCCAGAATAGGTCTCACATTGGCCCACAAAATACCTCCATACAACACAAATCACCTTGATGCCTATGGTCACGGTTTATTTTGTAACATATTCTACATTAAAGGAACGAGCAGGACTTACAACATTACGCCTACTCGACCTACCTACATTGATATAACAAGGAATTGATTCGAACCGTCAAGGAGACAGAACTTTCGTATATCCTTTCAAACTAATCCATTATTCGTACGAACACTTACCGTCCTAATCTTTCCGTCGTTATCTGTTTTACAACCTGCAATTACTCATAAGGGCCATCTTCCACGTGTCGAAATGTCCGAAGCCACGATTACTACATCTTCATTCTGAAAATTGCTATGTTCAACTAACCATTTTTGACATTTTTGTAAGGACGGTGAATATTCTCTTAACCTTCTTTTCCAAGACACATTAGCTAGATAACTAACCTGTTTCCAATGCTTGTCATATTTATCTTTGATGCTACTTTCTTCGACTATTCCATCACATTCCCTCGATAACAGCAAACTATTAGATGGTAGAGCTAGTTTAACGTTAGCATCTTGGACAACTGGAGGTAAGGGTCGATCGTTTAATACCCTGTCAATTTCGGCCAAATAAGATCGCAAGGTCTCATCAGTTAAAGTCTGTTCCTTGATGGTCAACAATGAAAGCCAGTGCATAGACCTAACCATCATATCTCAAACCCCACCCCTGTGGCTGAATTAGGGCGGGTTAAAATGCCATTGAATCTGCCTCGCTGAAAATTCATTATTAATCTTCTTCTTATTGAACTGTCCCATAGATCTCATTAGTTCAGAGACTGCACCCACAAAGTTTGACACATTGTCACTGTAAATGTCTGCAGGCTTTAATTTTTTCCCAATAAAACGTAATTAGGCCATTATAAATGAATCAGTATTCAAACTATGCGTCATTGTACCCGATCACTTTGTTTGGTTTCAACCAGGCAAGGGCACGTATCTAAACACCTAGACAGCTATTCTTCAGTTGAAACCTCATTCGTGAGTGTGCGTGTCTTTCTGGTTGACAACATACTGTTATTGACTATCCGGGTTTTTCTTCCGGACATACACTCGGCTCTCGACCTTACTTCTGGTACTTCCGGATAAGGAGGAATTCTGTAAGACGTTAGGAACACGCTGATCACTTGTTCTGAGGCACCCCCTCCTCCCCCATTGATCAGAGCTCTCTTTATCTTATCCGCGAATCCTTCTGGTTAGCGTTTTTATGGCGAGTTAGTTTTCGACGAGATGGGGTCACTAACCTCATGCCCAACCCTCCTCATTTACCAGGACTTGGGACCTGCAGTAACTCAAGAAGAGCTACACACGGAGTGCACGAAATACACTTGTAGGATAGGAATCTCAAAGATCCAGAATCATCAAAGCATCATTCAAAACGAAGTAGGAGGGGATCGCAATGAATGTTATCCAATATTATGCACACACCAATGACAGCAACGACGATGTTAAAGATCAGTTCTATGAGAGTCTGCAGTCAATCATAGAGAAGTGCCCATGAAAGGACCTCACCATTCTGATGAGAGATTTAAGCGCCAAAATCGGAATAGACAACACCGGATATGAAGATGTCATGCGACGACATGGACTGTGTGAGAGAAACGAAAATGAAGAAAGATTTGCGAACATGTGTGCATTCAACAAATTGGTCGTAGGCGGCACAATATTTCCAAACAAACGTATACACAAAGCTACATAGATCTCACCGGACCACACCACACAGAGCGAGATAGATCATATTTACATCAATATAAATTTTCGGAAGGAAAATGGAAGATGTGAAAATCAGGAGAGGAGCTGAAAACAGCTTCAGATCACCACCTGGTTGTGGCCAATTTAAAACTGAAGCTAAAGAAGAGCTGGACAACCGGACAAACAGCATTACAACGGTTCAATACAGCCTTTCGTTCGACATGCTGACAAACTCAATGAATTCAAGATAGCTCTCAACAACAGATTCCAAGCCTTACAAAATCTACTGAAGGAAGAAGAAACTACTATGGAGTACAACTGGAAAAGTATCAATGAAGCATTAAATTCAACGTGTCAAGAGGTTGTGGACCTCAAGAAGCTGAAGATTAAATTAGGCAAATGGGATGGAAATGGATAGGACAAACATTACGCAAATCATCAAACTGTATCACGAGGTAAGCCCTAACTTGGAATCCTGAAATGAAACGGAATAGAGGAAGGCCAGAGAACAGATTACGTCGAGAAAATGAAGCGGATATGAAAAGGATGAATAACAACTGGAAAGAGCTGAAAAGGATGTCCCAGGACAGTCCTGGATGGCGACATTTTGTTCTATATCATGCTGCATTGACTGCCAGTATGCAGAGCTCTAAAGATAAACGCCAAAATGACTAACCTATCCGAAGAGAGAACGTAAAGTTGATGCGTCAGCCGGTGCAGGCATGGAATTGGTAGCCTCGACGTTTTGAGGATCAGGTTTTCTTCCGGTTTTATCACTTATGAATCCCGAAAAGCGGACTTGCTCTATGTAGAAATAACATTTTCCAG